TTTCACATGTAAACCATATGTTTTCATACACACTTTTCAAAATCTGCTAGTCTGCTCCTCCCCTCAATCACTTCCTCTTGACTGACTTTGTTTATTTTAATTTACTTATTTATGGTTTGCCTGTCCTTGTTTGGTCTCTCTCCTCCTCCGCTCTTGCAACTGTAAAGCCGTCTTTGAGTTGTAGAAAAGCGCTATATAAATAAAATGTATTATTATTATACTTGGTTTTAACATTTTGAGTTCATCATTACACTCAAAACTGTCTTTTCATTGGGGTGCATTTTATTTCTTTTATTTAGATTCTGCTTTTTAAATCAATCCAGAAACATGTTTCATACTTTGTTTTACGTTTTGATTCATCATGGAAACTCAAACAACTGTCCTTTAAAACTGGGTGCATTGTATTTTCTTTCTTATTTAGGTTCTGTTTAATACACATATTTAATTTGACCTCAGATGTGCTGATATCTGCAAATATACAATCTTTAAACTGTCTTTTTACCTTGAAAAGTCTGGCCTCTCGGGGTAGGCTCATGTTTGTTTTTCTGTCTTTCTCTAATCAAAACCGTTAACTCCAAAGATGGTTTGTGATGGGGATTCAGAGGCAGGCTTGAATCAGAAACCACAATAGTTTCTGCATGGATGCCTTTTTTATTAAGAAATATTATTTTGTAAATATGTTATTCTCTGGTAGTCAGAAAACCTAACACTCTAACAACCACAAGCATTGCAAAGGTGAGTAAATTACATTTAAAAACTTATTCAACAATTCTTAAAGATTATATATTTGAAAATGATGTCTATGATCTTTTCAATCGAACATATGGACGACTCAAACAAGGATCGCAGCAGCTACAAGAAAGATCTTTCAAAGGGGAACCATAACATCCTGAAGCTGAGTTTCTCTAAAAGATTTTTTTAATTTTAACAGCAGTGCTATCTGACTCAGAACAAGCAAATTATATATGCCCTTTGTGTTTTTCTGTCTTTTTTCGCGAAAATCTAACCTCTTACAACAGTGACAAAGGTGATTATTCCGGCAGTGCCAGCTTTGGAGCATGTGGGGCCTTGAAAAAGTCCTCAAAGAGCCAACAGGTTAGGCTGTCCCAATTGTCATCTCGGGCTATCGGAATGGATGACACTGTCTTTCGTGAGTTCCAGAACCACAAAGTAGCAAGTCTCTCTTGCAGTGAGGTGAAGATGACATTGCACTTGGGCTGGCCAGTAAGGATGTTCCTCACGCAGGCTGAATGGTTTCTCTTCCTTACTGACACAGAAGCCCTTGATTTGCAATGCTTCATAATTGTCATTTTCCCTGGCTCCGTAGGGACACTTTACCTCCAGCACAGCGGAAGGACCCTAACCAGACCATTCTGGAGATGCCCCCCCACACTCGCTGATTGGGGAGAGTCACAAACCTGACTCATGGACCTGCATCTGGGTTTGCAGGTGGTGAATGGCCCTGACGCCCTCACATTCAATTCATAGTCCCCCCACTGTACAGACAAAACACCATCAAGGGCCTGTCTTTTTGCCCTAGCACACCTGGCAATAAGGGAAGCAGTCACACGCTTTGGACCTCAGGACAGCTCACAAGTTTGGCGGCAGTCACCTTCCTTTCCTGAACAAAATGCCAGTTGTGGTTGGTTGGTTCGGCTGACCAGTGGTAGCCACCTGAATTTGCCCTCCTGTTGCTTCTTCAGACAATGCAACCATGCCTTGCCCCAAGGGTCGGTCCTTGTGCCCCCCAAACCAGTTGGGGGTTTCAAGGGAACAGTGTTCCAAAGCTGTAAGTGTTCCTCTTCTGCCCCTCTGGGGGAGAGAAGCCAAGAATCCTGGACTGCCCCCCCGGTCTGTCCCTCCAGCCCCCCCCCGTCCGATCTTCGGAGTGGGCCTCTCTGTCAGCGTGGATTGATGGTTGATTTGGTTTTGGGATGCTCTCCACTGATGTGTCGTTTTGCCTGCTTTGGTTTCTTCCGGCAGGGGTGTCATGCAGCTGATGTGCGCATGGCAAGATGGTAATGCAGCACCCCGGAGACTGCATTTCCAGTTCCTCCGGTGGGCATTTGACTTTTGTGGGAGATCCCCCCCCTTCTCCCCCCCTGTTTAATGAGTCCTGGTCGGGGTGGCGCCGCGCGGCCCTGCTTCCCGTCCTATCAATTTTGACCGCCCTCAGTTACTTGTGCCCCCCCCCTCTTCCGTTGTCCTATGTTGGTTAGGCTTGGTATGTTTATTTCAGGATATTCTGTTGCTTTCTGGTGTGTAAATTTTGCTATAAGATTCTGTGACCTAAAATGGGATTTGTGTGATGGGGTTAGGTGTAAACTCCTACTTTAATGGTCTTCTCGCTATCACTACTCACCGACACTCTAGAACTTTGTCCCTTCGCAATGGCTAGCCTCTTAACAACAACCACCGGTAGCAACCCCTTCCATCTAGGGCCGCACTGTGTACGGTCCTGACCTCGCTGTTAGCTCGGTTCGTCCCTTATCCTAACACTCTTTGTCATCTTTGTAAAATGATATCAGACTGGTAATTGACACAGCCATGACTTCTAGTGAAATTCAGTGTGGCTCAAATGAAAAGCTTTGTTAAAATATGCAAGTGCGCTAAAGTCAGTTGAAACGATCTTAAGTTGGCGTGACGTTGAAGTCGTGCGACCCTGCTGCTGTACTGGCTTGTAGTTCGTTTATAGCATAACGTTAGCATTTTGCTTCTGCCGACTAGATTTATTATTCAAAAATTATAAAAGTAGGGTTGACATGTGGATATTATCCGGCTGAACAAAACGTGATCCATCTCTTAAATATGTGTCAACCACAGATCTTATTTCGAGCTATTTTCCAAAATCCTATGGAGAAATTGCATTGCGTTTTAGACGAAGGAACCGGAAGGAGTTTACTTCCGGGTTTAAGGACGCGTCACTGCGGCTCGAAATAAACGTATCCTCGTCAACATGGGCGCCGGAAGCAGGGGGGCCAAGGTTCATCACGTCAGACTTCTTGTTATCCGTTTTTTTATTCAGAAAACGGCGTTGGTTTCCTGTTTTTTCGTTTTTGATTTAAAACGAAAAAAGGCTGGTATTTTCGTTTTTTTGGTTCAAACGAAAAATCAAACTAACAAAACGTAAAGACCTTTTTTTTTTATTAGGTTTTCTCGTTATCCGTCTTTTGATTCAGACAACACAAACGGGAAAATGGCTTTGTTTTCCGTTATTTCGTTTTAAATCAAAAACGGAAAAAGGCTGGTATTTTAGTTTTTTGGCTTTTGGTTTAAACGAAATATCAAACTAACAAAACGTACACGGACCATACACTGACAGCTGTTGTCGTTGTGAAAACAAATGGACCGCAGATACACTGATTGACCGTCCTCATCTGCGCTCTTATTTTGTAAGGTAACTTCCGGTAGCAGAATATGAAAGAAAATATTGTAGTTTTTTTGTTTCTGTTTCCTAGTGATATTTATTTTTGTTTTCGAGAAGTAGAAAATGAAAATCATCCCGTTTTTTAAGTTTAGTAAATCCCTTTTTGACCATGATAAAGAAAAACGCTTTGTATTTAAATTTTGGTTTTTCAATTTGAAAACGAAAATCAAATATCCAGTCGTTTTTTGTTTTTGAATATCCATTTGTGAAAAGAAAACCCAATGACCAAAACATACACTGACTGCTTCCTCAGTTCCTTGATTCAAAAGGAAAATAAAACAGTACCATATATTGTGATTGTATTAATTCATGGGATTAAAAACGTTTCATATTGAGCAATACACTGACTTTGTTAAAGATACTTAAACAAATAATGGTGCAGGACATCAGTGCTTCACAGACTGCTGTTAGAAATCACCTCGAAGATTACAAAGGCCTGCGTGAGTCCTGATTAGTTTCAATACAAATTATAAGACTAGAGTTAGACAAATTCTGAAGAGGTCTGCTGAAAAAAGCACATTTATCTCTGTATAAAAAAATAAAATGACTATATCACTCCCAAACTGTTAACAGGCAGTGTGATCATTAAAGATCTGTTAGCATTTGTTAGCACTAGCTTAATAATCCAGCCAATTAATAAACCTCTTACAAGAACACTTGTAACAAGAGGTCCAAATATTTCATTGTTCTTTTATTGTTCCAGTTTGTTATGTGTGCACTTTCTGAATGTGTTACATTTTTGATCATACTTTTAAAATGCTATACTTTTGTTTTTGAACATGTGCAATATTAAATAATTCATATATACTCCTTTAACTTAATATGCCTTTTTCTTTTTTTCCAAGTGAATTCACAAATCAATACTACTGAAAAAAGCCTGACCGACACCAAGATGACCGTTAAGGCACCAAGTTCTACATGGCATTTCTTAGTTTAAAAGGATAATTCCACATTTTGGGAAACACATGATTCTTTAGAGTAGATCGATTAAAAAAAACAATAAAACTATTTTAGATTTTTTTTAGTGTTATGTACAGTAAAACAAAGACAATGTGTTGATACAAGGAATGTCAACGTAGGGAGGCGTGTCGTTTTATGTTTACAATCCCTTTGCCAAGCTAAGCAAAACAATCTAATATCCAAACGACTTCTAGAAACAGAACACAAATAACTTTAAAAATACTGATGAGTATCTAAAACATTTTTGTCGAGATACCATATAACCATTTGTTATTTATTATCCAAAATGAATCCCTAAAGCTGCAGTGTATCAAACTAAATGGCAAATGATTAAAAAAAAACCAAGTCAAACTGGTTGTAGAAAACTGTTCATTTAATAACAAGACTGCTGGTGGCAGTGGGTGATCTCAGACTATATAACCAACGCACAATCAACATCTCCAAATCACAAACTACACAATCAAATCCAGTCCAGAGTCTGTTTTTCTGAAGTCCCACAGGGATCAATAAGACAGCAACAAGTCGATCTCATTTGAATTTCAGGTAACTTTTTGACATACTAGTCCATAAATAAAAACATGCTATATACTTTTCCATAAAAAAAAGAGACATTTTACAGATAATACAGTATCATTGAAAAACAACTTATTTTTATTGGATTTGTAAAAAAGATCTAGTATGTCGGGCAGCAGTCTGCAGCAGATTTTACTCATTCTTGTCCTGAGATTCTGCTTTACAAAACCCACAAAAAACAAGTAAGCTATTTTTTCACAATACCACTGTGGGCCGCATGTCCTGCAGCTGTTTCAACATAAGGTCAGAGACCCCTGAAAAGGCCCCATCTATGACTATTTTGACCTTTCTAAGTGATTTCAAAAACTGCCGGTTTCTAAACCGGACAGAGGTGCTGGAGGTATTTCTGCATGTCTCTGAACTTTTTTTGGACTGTTCCAGGAATTTTAGGAAAGACATTTCAAAGCCCATCGGTTTGAAAGAGGCCAGCGGAGCGTTCTCGTCCTGCATTACTGCGGGGCAAGAGGAGTCTGATTCATCGTCCCTGCTGTAAAGTACCGCTGTCTTGGTTGTGCGGGGAATTTTCTTGCGTTTCACCGCTTTGCCCTCTAGTTTACGCGGGCGACCTCGTTTGCGTTTGAGCATCACAGAGCCATCAGAACTTTCCTCAGTTGATAATTTGGTGTTGAACAATGTAACAGGGGAGTCTGCAATGGTCCTTTTGCGTAGGACAGGCTTTGAACTTCCATATTCCCCTCCGCCTAGGCCGGTGTCTGAGGTCCCCTCTATGTCCGACAGGTCAGAGGTGTTGTCTGATTTGGAATCATCACTCCTGATCAAGTGGCACTTCTGCCTGGGAAACTTTTTGCAGAATATGAAGTGACTCCTTTGCTGTTCCAGATACTTTTCTGACAGTCCGTGTCCCATGTAATGTTTTAATATGCTACGTTCTGATCTTGTGACTGAATCACAACCTTTAATCATACAGGGGTATTGTAGGGGAAATCTATTTGTGCACATTGAAGATGCTTCCACTTTAGATTTCAAGGAGGGGTTTCCATATTTAGTCCAGTGATTTCTTTTTGCCTTGTCCCGCTTGGTCTCACTTCCCCTCTGTAGGATCTTTTTATTGCTCTCAATGTTTTCCTTCCCATTACTGGTCTTGGTAATTTCGTAATGCAGTCTTGGAGTCTTAGAGTCCCGTTTCATCTTGTCTTCTTTTATCTGTTGATCCTTGAGTTGATCCTGGTACAGGTCATTATGCTTTTTCATGACATGTCTGAGCAGGTTTGACTTTGTGGCATATGAACGGTCACAGCCTTCAACTTCACATTTGAAAGAGGCATTAAGATCAGGTTTGGCCAACTTCATATCTTTATGCTGTTCTTTGACATGTCCGATATACTTCCAGAAAGCAGTGAATGTTGATGTGCATTCTTGGTGGCTACAAGTAAACTTGCCGAGCTTGATGCTTGACAAGATATTGCCAACCTTGTCGAGACTGAACTCATGCAGCTGAAGATAATGCTGCAAAAGGTGGGGAACTTCTTGGAAAACTCTGGAGCAGTCTTTAACTTGACATCTGAATTCAGAAATGTGTGGGATCTCGGCCTCTGGCTGCTGTTGCTGCTCCTCCTCCTCCTCCTCCTCATCAAAATCCATGAAATCCTCCAGTTCGTCACTCTGGTCCTGCTCTTCATTCACCTCCAATAATGACAAAGCAGACTGGTGAACAGCCCTGTAGTGGAGGATCAGATTGTGCTGGATGGTGAAGGCTGCCACACAACCTTGATGAACGCAGCAATATGGTCTGTACAGACTCATGGCATCAGCGGATTTGGGCTTTTTCTTTTTTGTCTTCTTGGTTCTGTATATAGTTGTCTTGACTGTCTTGACTGTCTTGACTGTTGGCGGCCTGTTGACTGCAGATAGTTTGTCGACAGATGGAGGCCCATTAGCTTGCGGCGTGGCAGATAAAGCCTGAGTGAGAAGAGTTGATACTTTGGGCAAACGGGCTTTACCTCGTTGACCATGTGAGTGTTGAGTGGGCATCTTGGGCAAGTTTCTTTGCAGATCATTTGACAACTGTGGTGCTGCCGTCTCTGCTTGTACTAACTGAAATGCTGACGTAGATGTATGAGCCTGCGCTGGTAGAGTCGTTGCTTGATTGTGCATGGGAGCAGTTAGCAAGGGTTGAATGACTGTGGACCGGTTGTCATCTGCAAATGTATGATTAGTCACGTTAATGTTAGTAAGTGATACAAATGCCTTTAATGGGGTATTGAGTTTCACAGAATCTTTAAGTGAATAGAGCGGTGGTTTTTTCTTTGTTGATGAATGAGTAGGCAATGTGGTTTGAGCTGCTGGAGAAACACGTTTTTGAACAGTGGCCTCTCTGCGCAACATATCTAGATCTGTGATTTCTTTCAGAGATAATTTGTGAACCGACTGGTAGTGAGCACGGAGGTTTGAGTTACGAGTAAATCTCTTAGGACAAGTATGGCACTGGAAAGGGGCATATTGGCCATACCTTTTTTTAACCACATTCACCATATCCATTGTGTAGTTGTGAGATTTGGACAGGTGTCTCCAAAGAGCATCACCTGACATTGAGCCAAATGAGCATGTCTCATCCTCACAAGCAAAAGGCTTGACAAAGACTGTTGGGGATCCTGTGTTGACTGTACTATTGCTACATTGTTTCATTTGGGCCAACACCTGATTAGATCTTTCTCTGACCAAGTCAAGCTTTTCTAATGCACCCTGAATTTCTGTCATCTGCTGGTACTGGCTAGCAGATAACGGTGTTGGGTCAAGATCTGCATAAGTTGCAAGGACGCTTGTGGGGTTCAGTACCTCCTGCAGCTGTGTGGAGGACTCTCTGAAACCAGTAAAGCTCTGTGTGTTCAGTAGTTGTTTGATTTCATCAGCGGTTCCTGGGATGATTGTACAGTTCTCTAGCATGATCTCTCCTAGGCTACCTTGGTCACTCTTTGCATCGCAAAACATTTGATCAAGTCCATAATTATCAGAGGGATTGCACATTGGGAAAAAAGCCATAGGACTCTTTGAATTGGCATTCGTGTCAGTGTTGCTTGAATGGCCTAAGGTGTTTCTACGTTGAAAGTCACCAGCTAAAATCTGCTCCCGCAGTCTCTTTTTAATATATTGATCAGTTCTCTTCCTTTGCGTCCCAGACTGCTTGCTGCTTGTGGATGGACTGAGCTGACTATCAGGTAACAACGTTTTCATCGCCGAGTTAAAATCTGGTGTTTGAACGGTTATGTCAGGATTTTCTGTGAGAATCTGAGAGAAAAGTTGGTCGGGGAATTCACTTCCAGCAAATGCATCAGCACTTGGCTGAGGATAATGGGCTGTATTAAACAAGTTGTCCTCTTGCTTCAGCGCAACATTTTCTGTGTGCTGTATGACTGAGCTCCCTGGCAAGCGTTCACCAGCTGAAAAGGACACACAAGAGTTTTGAAACAATGACTGGGAAGCAGGTGTGTTCACAAAAAGATCCGTCATATTGGGTTCTGTCTTGATTTGCTTAAGAATGTCATCATTTGACGCACCATTCTTATATTTTGCCAATTTACTTTTTGAATATTTAGGGACGGGGTATGAAACATGTGCTGCTGACAGAGCATGCTTCTCCTGATAGACAGCAGCAGGACTGGAAGATGACTGTGGCTGAGCAGCCCTAATCGCTTGCTCTGAATTGAGAAAGTCAAGAAATGATGATGGCAGGTCTGTGTTCAGTTCTGATTCATCATATGGTTTGCAGATTGTACGCTTGGACAAATGGCCTCCGAGAGATTTTGGACTATTGAATTCTCTAAAACACCTGCAACAAACAAATTTTCCATCTCTGATAATAGCTGGCCATTTGGTCCTGCTGCTTCTTTTGGGTCGCTTTTGATTTGCAGGATTGTTTTCAGCGATGACGGTAGCTTGAGGTTGGTTGTTACTGTGGTTTTGGCTTGCATTGTCTAAAGAGGAAAATTGAGACTGCAGATGGTTTTGCATTGATTTAGTTTGTTCTGGTGCCCTGGAACCGGAGATGCTTTGCATTTGTGAAGCATGTGGCAAAATAAGGTCTTCCGCTTGTTTAGAGAAATGTTTCGCATTTTCCATTAGTTGTGACTGCATTGACTGTGCTGGTCGGTTTCTGGTGGAGCCAGTTACAGAGCAGGATGGGAGATTACGTGGCAGAGCAGCACTGGTAGAATTGACTTGTGAGATCACATGTGTGTTAGATGGATAGACTTGGGAGGTGCCACAGTTTTGAATTTGTTTAGTTCCAGGGACTAAGTTCCAATTTTGATTAACTGGAACCTGGGACTGTGCAGTTATTGGATTTGTATCACTTCTTAGCTGAGAGACAACAATAGGATTTAAAACGTTTTCCATCAAGAGTGAAGCATTCTGATATTGGGCAGGTGAGGGATGGGAGTGTAAAGTAGTGCAGTTTAAGCGTGCACCCATATTAATATAAGGAGGTGATCGGATAACGTTCTGCCTGTGAACCCCACCAACTGGTAATCCGTTGTCCTGCTGGTTCTGAACTGGCACAAATGAACTGAGATGTCCAACAGATGATTTGCTCGGTGCCGCAGCATAAGTTGTCTTGATTTTAGTTCGATTTTTTTTCCAATTCTCATAGAACTCCGAGTGAACCGCTTTCATGTGCTTTGCAACACTTTTGGGGGAGCTGTAGTTCCTTGCACATGTTTCAAATGCACAGTGAAAGCGCTCTCTCTGTCCTGGAAGGGGCCCTGTGCTAGTTGAGGAAGTCACAGAGTTTTCCGATCTGTTCCCAGGTAGTGGCTGAGGGGCTAGTGTTGGAGGAAGTGGTTGTGACATTGCTGGCTGTATGGATTTTTTGGCCAGCGCTAACAGGTTGCTACTACACATTGTCCCTTGCTGCACCTGCAGTGTTAAGTTTCCGCCAGTTTTGAAGGCTGTTAGACCAGTATTTACAGCGCTGTGAAACACTTGGGGCTGTAGCTGGGCTTGCAAGATTACATTAGCTTTAAATGGAGGTACCGGCTGATTTTGTTGGGGCGGTCTCATACTATCAAAAGAATGGCCACTTGAACCATGTCTATGTCCATTAGGGTCAGACAATTGGGAATTCAAAGGCTTAATCACAGAATTATTCATACTCTGTGTGTAACTGGTGGTTGAAACTGGCACATTTTGGGGCTCTTGTTTTACAGTGTTTAGTCCTAAGGTTTGCGCAGGAACTTCGGAAGATTTCATCAAACTCTCAATTGCAACTGGCAGCCTTTCATTATTTGAATCAACCGTGCTCTCTGTGGTACAGTTTTCTTGGGAATTCTCTTGTTTAACGGGAGTGCTGTTGGAAAGCATTTGCTCAATGAGCGAAGGGCCTGGCTGCGTATTCTGTGAGATGTGTTCAGGAGACGTACTTTTCTCTTTGTGAGGGGCATGGGCCCCGTGGTGCAAATCCAGCTGTTGTTGGGAATGGAATACCTTCCCACATTCTGCAAATTTACACGTGAACGTTTTATAATGCTGTGCCTCGTGGTCATAGAGTTTGAAGGCCTCATTGAAAATCTTCCCACACTCTGGAAACATGCATCGTGCCTTAAAAACAGAATGTGTTTTCCTGTGTACAAAGAGTTCAGTGTTGGACAGAAAACTTGCCCTGCAGTTCAACTGAATACAGATGTAAGGTTTCACACCACAGTGGACTTGTAAATGGTCATTAAGATGGGTGACATTAACAAAGTGGCGGCGGCAGTACTGGCAAACAACCTTTTTGCTCTGCATTTCGAGGAAAATCATAGCTTCCTCATTGTTCCCATGACCTCTAACATGTGCAATGAGATTTTTGAAAAATTTGAAGCTGTGTTTACATTTTCCAACAGGGCACACATTTTCATCACCATCTATGGAAGGCCTAGACACTCTGACATTAGCATTCAACCTCAAATGTTTCCCCGAGGAGTCACCATTTTTACGAGATTTGTATTCTGGCTTGGCCTGTAATGCTGCAATAACAGGGGCAGCTGTTTTAGGATCAGACAGTTGCTTGGTTGTTTTCATGGCCATCAGCCTTTCCTTGCTTGACTGTTTGACATGGGATGTTACGTGGGGAAGCAATGTGTCTTTTGAGGTAAAAGTTTGAGCACATATTGGGCAGCTGTATACTCCACCGCTCAGATGAGTTTGTGCATGGCGTACGATCCTGTGGCCGAGAAACTCTTTGTCACACAGTACACAGTACTGCATATACGCCTGCCAGTTTCTGAACCTGGCAGACATTAACCCTTTCTCTCTCAGTTTCTTCATCTCTTTGTTTTTTTGTTTTTTGTCTTTTACATCTTTCAGTTCATAGGTGCCACTGCCTAGGTGGTCCAGGATATTCGCAAACCCCTCACTAAAATCGTCCTCTTCTTCGGGGTCCTCGGGTTCATTTAGCAGGTCTATGGATGAAACAATTGAAGCTTCCTCACCCATGAGTGCTAGACAATGGCGCTTGAGTGTTTTCCAGTCCCAGAACTCCGGGTCGAAAGGCCACTGGGTTTTGAAAACTAGCAGGAGCTCGCAGCGTAGAGAGTTGGGAACAGGCCTTTTCTCTTCATCTACCTTTTGATCTGGTTCATTGTAAAGAGTCTCCACGGCGTAGTATGAATCCACTGTTGGCTCCAGGAGAAACTCCGTCAGCTGGCAGGCTCGCTTCACTTCCAGGTCAGTGGGAAGCAAGCAGGAAATAGTTTTACACACAGTGGCCTTGGTGTTCCCATCATCGGATTCCATTCGCAGAGCCCTTATACACATCTCGATGCACACTGGAAGTCCAACGCTGTCAATCTACAAAAAAGAGGAAGAATAGTAATTTAATGCTGCCAAACATGTGGAGCACTATTAATTAAGACTATTAATAAAAGATAAAAACAAAAACACTTAAAACTATATCAGTCAGTGTTGAGCTGTATGGCAAAGTTACCAACTTTTGTTTGCTAGTTAATTTCTACATTAATAATAAAATAAATACTCTGAATCAGAGTAAATATACATTTTTGATACAGTGTTCATAGGAAATCCACACATTTGACTTTTGAGTACATGTAAGGAGTACTCAACGCAAAATATTGTAAGAATGGCCCACTGTGGACCTGAAAGGTGGCTTTTAAAGCTTTCTCCTCGAGGCGGGGGCAGTTTCTGTAGTCTGCGCTATCCAACCCTCATCCATAGGCTCAGTATCAAATACCTGTATCAAAAACTAAATTAACTTTGTATTTTCTGTCTCTTTTTTGTTGTAGTGCCTAGGTCTGATGTGAGAAAACATGGCTGCATGTAAAAACGCAGGATGATAACCACATCATTCTGGAAAGTTTTCAAACTTAAGGATTATACAAATGGAGAGTGAAATAGTTAATTATCATGACTTTCTATTTGTGCGGTTGGAATTTATTTACCATGAAACTGGGTCTTCTTATGAATTCATGTTAGTCACATGATTCAAAGTTGAACCTTGTTGCAAATGCTAAAATAACCACCCTCAAACATACATGCAGTGAGAATTTGATTCTAAAAATATTGCTTTAAATGTAAACATGCACAAGATAGAATCAATGTATTGGAAAGTTGTGTGGGGGACAACAATAAAACATGATTGTTGAGTGTAACATGTCATTAAGGGTGGCCACACTTTGATAATACCAAAACAGCTGATTGATTACTGACCTCTGATTGGATGACCTTGATAAGGAACAGGATATGGAAAACATTTTTGGAAAGTAAGGACATCTGACGACATCGGTCGAGGAAGGCCTGCTCCGACGGCTCCAATCTCTTCAACAGCTTGCTCCAAAACAGAGTGAGCTCCCTGGTTTGAAGTAAGAGGATTCATTGCAAATTCAAAATGACTGATTGTGACCACATTTCTTAACTATACAAACCACAATGACACACACAGGTTCATAAACCAAGGACACGCAGTGTGGATTAACAACATACTGATTATTCAAACATGTTCTGCATGTAACTAACAACTTTATGTTTCTTCACACTGAAATATTTCAGACAAACACTGTCAACATTGTATTACTAGGATATATATATATATATATATATACACACACACATATATAAAAATACAATTAATTAAATAGTGCATACTAGTTAGTGAGATAAAAAACAGCCTTGTTAGACTGCAGATTGAAAAGGTCTGACATGCGTCTCCTTACCAAGCACAGTCTGTGTCTCCTTGGAAAAGCTGGCGGGTCAGGAAGGCCGAGCACAGGCTGAGAGCCGCCCTCTCTTCTCCATCTGACTCCAGGTTGCAGATCATCTCTAATGCATCTCGGCAATCCTCCTTTGATAGCTGCACAGATAAACACAATGTATACAGTAAGGGTTCACTGAAGAACAATGTGCATTATGTCGACTTAAGGAAACACCCGCAAGCTTCAGCATCAGATATATTTAAAACCAATCAAAAATGCCTCTAATGTGGACAGCTTAGCAACATTTTTTTTTTTGTTTAACAGTTTTTATCGAGATTGAATTAGAAAAAAAATATACATTCAATAGCATTGCATGCTACCCCTCCATCCCACCATTATAGAAAGTTAAATAATTATATATATAATGAATATATATATATATATAATTATTTCAAAAGTAGCAGTCTATAAAATCATTTTTAAATTAGAGGTAGCTTGTACTGTTTAAATGACATTCCCAGAACAAATGACTTTCTTCACTTCTAAAAGGGGTAAATTAATACTCTTTTCAAAGCATCTCAAAGCAATGATAAACCTGTGAGTTGGATGTAGAAAAGTCAGAATCAATTTTCAGAATTTATAGATTTATTTTAATTTTAAAGTAAATTCAGATTGAACATGGTAAAAAAACAAGTGAAATTTGACCTTTTTAAGAGAGGTTTAGCAAAAGAAAAACACCCTTGCGGTAATTTAGGTGGATTTGCCATATCTCTGGAACCCATTGGTCGATTTTGGTGATTGACACCTCTTTTGAACCGTTAGAGCCAATAGAGACCGAAGTTCCTAAATCCATCTAAACATTATCCATTAGTGAATGAGAGTGAAGCGCAGCCAGCATGCCCAAAACCGGAAGATCTGATCCACTCTACATTTATTGTCATAAATGTTATGATGGATTATCAGTAATCAAGTGACAGAGACTTTGGATTAACCTTCAGCACCGTTTATATGCGTTTGAATGCCATTGAACACAACTCTTGATCAGAAAACAGCAACGGTAAGACGTATTTGCAGCTTTGGCACCGTAAAGTGAAATGTGTGTTGTCTTTCCTGGCTTCGCTGCCGTGAGTTTTGGTCATACAGTGATGATACTAATACCAATGGAATCTGTGGAGTCTCAGCTTCCATAAGAGCTAATTCAGAGGCTTGGTATTACCCTTGCGTTTTGTTTCGCTAAAAATGGTTAATATTGTCTGATAGCTGAGTTTCTTCCCGTTTCGGGACCCCCTTGAAAACGAGATGGTGCATCTTAAGGGGTTTATCTCAATGAATACAAATGTCTATATATATGCTTCATTTCACACTATAAATCATTGGGAGTCAGTTATGGCTTTGAAGAACCATTTTATTGATTTGAACGCATGGTTTTAGTATGTACATACGTGCAAAGCATGCTAAGATCATAGGCCCATGATAAGAAATGTTGTACACTCATCGATACGATAAAGTTGTTTTAGTTATCTGGGGCTGTTTGTCCTGCAGCTGGTTGCAAGTCACCCGTTTCATAAATGAATTGGATGTATCTTTCATCTTGTGTGTAATAACGGTTAACACAGTAAGAGAGTGTGAAATCCAACGTGTTATTTCTGTAAAGGCTGTTGGATGAAAGCGCACTGTACACTGCTCTCTGATCGGCGGTGATGGCGCTCACAGGAAGTCTTGATTGTAGCCATGCACTGCATTAACACACTAGGAGGAGCTGGAAAGATAAATGGCTGCTTCTGTTCATGCATGTTCCCTAGCACACACACACACACACACACACACACACACACACACACACACACACACACACACACACACACACACACACACACACACACACACACACACACACACACACATATGCAAAAAAAGACTCAGCATGACATTGATTTTGTGCCTCGCTGCATGTCCCCCAAGTACAGAGGGTCTCCGGCCCCCTCCCACAGAAGCAATAAGAGCTGCACAAGTCTCACCCTGAAGCTTCTGTTATCACCACATGTCACTCCTCTCTCTCTTCTGCACCCCCATACACATGCCCCCTAATTGAGACGGCTAATAACCAAGCGGGGTCATTTGTATATGTACGCATTAGCATAATTGAATAGGCATGAGTTAAGTGTTTTCCGCTGGTGTGTTAATAACATGGTCTGAGAAAACACATGCATGTGTTTGCCTGTTTGTTAGGCTTGCGATGTCATGACTTGGGAGGCATCCATCCGTTCAGTCCCCTCCTCTCTGCCCTGCCTCCATTTCTTCCCTTAACTGTCAGCGCCAGAAATCTAAGGTGTGGTCATTTGTTCTCAAATATTAGATGATGAGATGTCCTTGGCTGTGTGTTGGCCAGAGCTAATAAACGGGGTTCTGTACCAGTTTGAGAACAGACATACTGTATGTGGCCGCTTAAACAGTTTTCAGACTGCTGGACAGTGAACATTTCTCTGAGTCAACCACACAGGAAATGTTCCCCTCTGAGCTGCCCACGGAGATTTCTTCTGCATCTGCTAGTTGCTCTTCAAGTCCTCCCTCCATCATTAAACCCTGCTCCCTGCAGAGGAGCCCTTATGGCAGGAGGTGGGGCACACGCAGAGTTGAGTGCCTAAAGGGAAGAGAGGGATCAAGGAAGCAGGGTGGCGAGGATATCATTTCCATCTCGGCACGCCGCGGCTGTCGTCCTTGTCACTGCGATGTGTAAATCAGGGTGCTGTCTGCTGCAACCTGAGCGAAGAGAGGAGCAGCTTTGTGCCTCCTCTCCTCTAACGGCACAGAAGAGACCTCTGTGTACAGACAACTGACAGCGCCTTGAAAGTGCAAATTCTTTACAGCACTCAGTGCACAGGTTACTGGCAGGTTAAAGGAAACTTGAAAATAGCACACATCAAACATATTTAACTGTTGCATAGCAACAACCTACAGTTTTTTCAGTAGTTGAAGCATCAAGCAAAGCCTTGTTTTGTGTTAGACAGAATGTGAGATAAAGGTAATAGAAAGGTTGGGAAAAGGATAAGAACTATGAACATCACTTTCATTAGTTTCAAGGTCATAACATATTGAACTGAATCCTGTCTTCTATTACTGTATACATTGTCCAATCTCTTCCTTTGCTTCACCTGGAAGGACGTTTTTCAAGATCCAAAGTAATTGATGAAAAAGTTTCAGCCTTTAAACCCATCAAAGTTTAAATGAATGGAGAGACATTTATACGATATCATTTCCTGGGTCAGACGGATGATGAGCAGAAAAGATCCCTACTTTTTGATAAAATCACATCAAAGTGCAAATTGAGATTATTTAAAGACAAGAAAAGTTTGTACGGATGAATTCATTATGTGGTCAATCCTAAAAGAAAAAGTGCATGGGAATATAAACCCATTAACCAGCCCACAGGATGCTAGCACTGTGGAGACTTTTGTGGACACACAAAACAAACTGTTCCTCTGAACAGCATGTGTCTGAACTGACCTTCATGTTTGGTGAACAAAAACCAATTTCCACTGTTTGCCCTCCTCTTTTGTTGGTTACTGTTGATCAGAATCTTAGATGTTCCCTGTAACATCAAGGACAAACCAAAGTCTTTGTCTTGCACTCACGCTGCAAGTGTTTCTAAAGAATGTGATTTCCAGCGGTTCCCTTTTTCTATGTCCCAGGGCTGGCGGTGTCACTATCTCTCCGTAACCTTCCAGTCAATCCTGGTTTGCTGCAATTAAAGGATCCATCATGTTAAAAGGCTTTCACAGGAAGAGGCCAGGGGGTTATCTTCAAATCAGGCATTTTCTCCAAACTCTGTCCTTTGGTGCATCGACAGGCCCTGAAGGAGAGCAGGCTCGCTAAATGGAGGGGTAATCACTGCTCTTAGACGTCCACTCAGGAGTGTATTATCAGCTAGCCCATGGAGAAGGCCCACTATGGCCAAAACACACTTACATGGCTTGCACAGAAATAAATAACCACCCACGCAAATGAGCTCTGCATTCGTGTGCAAAGCTGGGATTCATGTCGTCATGATTGCAAGTCTGAGGAAGAAAGAAGCAGCGGATACATTTCACAGCTTTTCAAGTGTCTTCCTGTTCGTGGGTCATGCACAGTGCTCTGTGTGTGAGCGTAAACTCACCTTTTACCCTGCAGAAGTTTGGTGAGGACTTGCACAGAAGCGAGGTTTGAAAGCCTGATGAAATGCAATCAGTGCCTTCCCCCCCCCCCCTGCCCATAACACATGCACTTTGTGATGAAAGCCAGGATGAAGTGGCAGAGAAATAAAAGTGAAATGTTAAAGCAGTTCTATTCCACTTTCTCCATTCCTTTATCTCTCCGCCCGATTTCACATCACCTGCTCTCAGATCAGAGGAGAAAGGTGGAGGTGTGTGTTTGTGCGGAGATATAGCGAGGTGTGAGATGACTGTGATTAACGGCACTGATTCATCCGTCATCACCTTCACCTTCCGCCAGAAGTCGTGACTGAGTTTTCTTTGGGGGTGTAGCGAGTGGTTCCTGTACGTTTGAAGCCAACCATCTGCTCTTCCAGCAAACATATTGTGTTAATCTTCGTCTATCATCTCTGACACGGTTCATTGCGTGTTAATGTTAGTAAAGATCCCAGGAAGCAAAAACACTGATGATGGAGGCTGTTTAACCGTCGCCAACAACCTATGGAAGGGAAATGATACTACTAAACGTTTATAAAGTGTAAATAAACTCTTCCTCTCCCCTGTGTCTTTCCACCACAGCCAGCCTGCTATCCACCCCTTTCTGTGCCATTACTGTCAGTATAAGTAACCTCTCTGGCTCTTGATATCATAGACCCGCAGGAGGAACAAATTACCCAGGATGCACTGATAAAAAAGAGAGAGAGAGAGCGCAGTTCACATGGATTATCGTGGCTTGAGTTTGACTGAATATTCTCCTCTAATTGATAGTTTCCACCAACAGAGCCTTGGGGAGTGAAGTGAGGAAGTGCAGGGGCCAAGAGAAACAGTGTTACTACTCTTAGAGGGCAGATCTCACAAACACATTGGTATTATGATGCATCTAAAAGTGGCAGAACATTTAGAAGCAGAAATATTTGTTGTTCTTGGGCTGACTGTTGGTGTTATGAATGCATATTCAATTAGTCGCTTTCTTTCTATACGGTATTTTGATATCCATATTTGTTTTCACGTCTCTTTTATATCTTGTTTGCTGATTTAGGATTTGCTTGATTGATTGATTAAACATTTGAATTGAAAAAGCAACCCTAAACTGTTTTGCAAGCATTTGGCTGGTTCCTGCTTGTGGTCACCTTGGGCTATGCGTAGTAATGGGCATTTGATTGAAAGAATGATTACTGGCTTCTTTTCTCAAATTGAACATGGACACCATATTTTATTTTAATCCCACACACACCTTCTTGCTGCTTGAAATGCTCACTAGAGAACCAGAAATATAAAAGAAATGGCTGAAAGACCATTTCCATTTTCTCCTGTTCAAAACTTCTGAGTCTTTAATGAAACAATGATGTTTGCGATCTGATCACAATGTCCGAAGGAAATAATGGAGTTCACATACAGTGTCTTAGTCAAAACGTTTTTAAAAATGGACTTGTGATTTGTTGAAAAGAATAAAACATAATTGTCATTCAAAGAGCTTATTTGGGTGGTGAAGAGTTAACTGGATAATTCATTGTCTTTCATCATTATAGCACAAACTGTTATCATGTCTAAAAGGAGCGACTCCAGTATTTGGAAATTGCTACAAGGTGCCGCATGCTGATTTACATGTAATGACATTTTTCAAATTAGTTTTGCAAACAATCACTGAATATGTGCATGTATCATAAGTGACAAATATTAATACAACGCAGACACTGGCAAGGAAAGGGAAACAAGGTGCAGGAGGTCAGTGTTTAACAACGGCTCTGTAATTGGAAACAAAATGGGAAGTCAGTCACGTTATTCTTCCCATCTGAAGAAAGGAGAGTGGATTGTGTGGGCGGTTTAATAGCTGTGAGTGAAAGCACCAGTCAGTATTAAGTCAGACTAGATTCTCACTCAAAATGGGATGTTTGTAGAGGTTAGAATGTTCACAAATACAATACCAGCCAAATATAAATACACAAATAATATTGAATTATGCCCCAGCTCTTTAGCTTCCATATCCTTTAGTCAAAAGCGCTCCTTGATGAGGCCCTAATTCTGGTTAAGAAAAAAAAAAATTCTTCTCGCAGGCATGTGTTGTCTTAGCCGTGCTGTTTCTGCAGCTGTCTATATTTACTTAATTTAGCCAAATTCTGTTTGTGTTTATTAAGAAACGTGGCATGAAATGAGTGAAAAGAGCAAATGGACCAGTTTGATCAGTGGCAGCTTCTCACCTCCTCTCCAGTGCACGGATCATACCCCCTCCTGCATTTCTCCCTTTGGTCCATCAATCACTCCAGCCAGCATCACGGTCTAGTAAGCTTGACTGGCACTAAGGAGGGAATCTAACCTTAGAGCGCAGAGTGTGGTGCCAGCCAGTTCATGCAGAAATACATCCACATTTCACTTTTCTCTTATTCTTTTTGGACCACTTTATACAGTAAATTGGTTTAAATGTAGACGGAGAAATGCAACTAAAGTAGAAGTGAAACATTTATAAATCTATAAATGTAGGTTTTCAGGGACTTTCAAACCTCCCTCATTAACCCCTGTACTGATTGAATTGATTACATTCTGTTTCCTTTGATGTGTGGCTTTAAAAAGAACGCTTGAAGCGGCAGAAAACTGAGATTTATCTTCCTTCTTGAGGACGCTCATCGTGCTGGTCAAGGACCTTCCTAGTCAGGTCCTTTAACTCTTAAAAACTCAGACACTTCTGAGCTTTTAATGCTCACCGGGCACCACTCTATTGATTACCACATTGATTTCATTCATCCAGGCCTATCTGTTTGTCCCTGAGCATCCAGGACACATCCTATCATGTCTGTGTGCGCATTATTATAACTCTCGCACAGAAACTGAGCTGCATCCTCTTCTGTGTCAGCGCTCGGAGTCTTTAGTTGTACGCACGTGTACATTGAGCGTTGTTTGTGGCCTCGAGGCTGCACTGTTCAAGCTTATGGGGGGGGGGTCGAGGGTTCAGGGTCGACCCCTCGGTTGCATTTCCGCACTGAGTAAATGAGCGACCTGGACACTGTCCCTCTAATGATTAAATGCATCATGTTGCTTTCATCCCGTCAGTGTGCTTTACCAATTTCTGCCTCTGCACGCCGCTCTTGGATGACAGGAGAATAATGGATGTTTGGGTCCATAACTGGTGACTTTTTAACCCAGGAGGTAATTACAAATTAATTTCTGACTACACATTGTGGGAATCTAGATTAGATTGTTTTATGCCTCAGTATCAGCTGTGGTTTTGTGTTTTCAGACCAATTCTTTGGAATGCAATCTAATACTTTCATATTTGGTGCTCACTTTGGCTCAAAGGAATGTGAGTCAACGGACAAGGTCACTTTGACATTAACAAACAGGTTTGTGTCATTACCTCAAGAATTCATATTGTACCTGTAATGATGATGTGAGAACTGCAACACATCTTCTATCGCAGGCTGAAAACCCACCTGTCTGCACCTTTGCCAAAAAGTATATATTACCAAAAACTCGCTTTTGTACGTAGCACTTAGAAATGTGTTCCCTATTTGAAGCCAATGCAGGAGCACTCACAATGGTTTGGCTTATTGAAATCTAATGCACTTGCAGGATTCTTGCTTTTTGAGTTTGTATCTTCAGGGTTACAGCAAATGACTGATTGTAAGTTGGTTTGGATTTAAGCGTCAGCTGACTGAAATGTACTGGAATGTAACTTGACGTGCAACTTCAAGGAAGCAATTCTAGTCATTCTTGGTTAATTTAAATGTGTGGACAAGGAATATCTTTAGAGGGTAATAAACAGGAAGGCTATCCACATTGATAAGCTGCTATAAATTAGGGCTGCGACAGGCTTTCATTTAGTCAAGTTAGTACCTGTTTGCCAAGGGAATGCAGGAGGATGGAAGGAAAGGAAGAGTAGATACCGATGACAGAAAGGAGACAAAGAGAGAGACGGAGAGGTGTGAAACAAACGTTCCACTCAGAAGCTTTCTGCAGCTCGCAGATGGCTGTCCTCTCTCTCTTCATCTCCTCTTCACAGCATTGTTTCCATCTCTCTGGACCACTCTCCAAGAAACATGAGAGAGTCCCCTCAGACTTCCCAGCCCTTCAAACATTACACACTGGTCGTATTGTGGGCGGCAGAATGTTTCTTTTTCTTCAGTCAGAAGAGATTCTCACAAAACGTTGTCCTGTTTATAAAATGTACGTATTGATGAATAAAGATAGGGATACCATACCAGGTCAATTCTACCATGATATTAAATCATCACCCTGCTCTGCAGCTTTCATATGCATTAGTCATTAGCACTTCTTGAAGAGGCGTTAACTAAATAAATTGCATATTTATGGTAATTTAAATGCTTTGTT